GTTCTAGTGTCTTTTCTTCTACTGGAAAGTCATCTGATGTTTTATTTTGGACTCCTACTGGAACCATCCCATCCTGTTTTTGTAAATGTTTTCATATTGTCTGCTGTTTGGGGCATTCAGTAGTTATTTTTCTCGCTTATCGACTGTAGATTTGTTTCATCCTTTTTTTTAATTTGGCTATGTCTGAGCAGGAAGGATGTGTGTTCTTTGTTGTTTGCTCATCTGTGGGCACTATACTTTTCGCCTCCTCTAGTTGGCAGGGTCAGTTGCTCAGTTACGGTACAGCATGGTAGGTCTAGCTGAAGAGGAGGTGCTTGGATGAGTTGTGACACTACAGCCACCAGGGCGGACCGGTAATCAGTGCAGGGCAGGTTCCATTAGGCCGCGCCTGTACTGCTTGGTGGTGTGATGTTAAGCGCACAGTGCAGGTAGGCAGGATGGACAGGGGAGATTGTGATGTGTGGCGCTAAAATAGGTATGGGAGAGAGTAGAAAGGAACAGGAGCCAAAAACATACAAAAAAGTGTTAGTGGAGCTTGCCATTAGAGTGGAAAGATGAGAGACTATGAAATGGAGAAAAACAAAAAGACGAACAAGAAAAAAATGAACAAAAATTAGAAAAAAGAAAAGCTCCCAGGGATCCCACTAATGCAGCTATGAGGTCTGGGGAAGTTGTTCCCAAGTGTTGAAGTACAGCCTGGCTAGAAGGCACAGAGGTGTCACTTAGTGCCAGGTACTCAGTGGACAGGAAGAGAAGGAAGGTATAGAGAGATGAGAAACTGAGTAATGAAGAAAGACAAAAAGGGAAAAGAAAACAAATTTAAAAAAAAAAGAACAAAAAAACCCCCCAAAAAAACAGAAGGAAAAAAACCATGAAAAAAGAAATGCCCTCAGTGATCCCTCTGCACGTCTGTGCAAGTTGAGGGGATAGGTCCCAAGCCACACAGCACTGCCTGGCCAGAATGGACTTCCAACTCGAGAAAAGAAAAAGAAACCAAACAATTCAAAACAAACCAAGTCCCAGGATCCCACCAGTGTGGCAACATGGGCTGGGAAGCAGTTCCGCACTCGAGGGGAGCTCCACAGCCCCTCAGGAAGATGACGACGCACGGAGCCAGGTATTTGAGCAAAAGGAGGGAGAGGTGGTGAGAAGTAAGGAAGAAATCAAAAACAGCATAAAAAACCAACACCAGCAGCCAACAAATGGCACTCAGGGAGTTGGCCAGTGCAGGCGGGTGGAATCCAAGCAGCCGGTGCTTCCTGGCGAAGAGACTGTGGCTGTGGAAAGCAGAGGGAGGCCGAGTGGGGATGAAGAAGTGTGGGGGGTGGGAAAGCGTCTATCATTGGTTACCGGTTATTCTGTCTCCTGCTGGAAGCTCCGTGAAGCTGATTTCTCATACCCCCTGTTCACTTGTCTCTGATAGGAGTCCAAGATGGCGGATCTGTGCTGTGTTAGCTGATAGGGGACCTCTGCATGTATGTCTCCTCGCTCTTTGTTCTCTGTCAGTTTCTTACTCCATCTGGTGCTTGGCTGAGTACTTCATTTGATGCTTAGGGTTTCAGGATTGCTGTTTTCTCTGTTTGGCTTAGTTTTTCAGATCTTTGCTGTGGAGGGACGGCGTGGTGCTTCTGCCTAGAGCGCCGTGTTGCCGGAAGTCCTTTTGCTCTGCTCTTGACCCTGCATTCAGCTCATCATCTGACCTCCAGTTCTTCGGACTTGGGGCAGCAAGCTGTCGTCTGATCTGCCAATTTTGGATTCGTCAGCCTTCACAGCCATGAGCCATAGCCTGCTGTCTGACCTGTGGCTCTTGGGTTTGTTAGACCCTGTGGCTGAGTCAGGAGACACCTGACACTTGACCCACGGACTTGGGACTTGCCAGCCTCTACAAATGCATGAGCATGAGCTATTTCCTTTAGATAAATCTCTATGTATATATAATAGATATATACACTTCACTGGTTTAGCTTCTCTAGAGAACACAACCTAAGACACATGCCAACCCCAAACTACCCTCTATCCTTTCAAAGAATTGGAGGATCATCCATGTCTGAAGATGAACTGCTGGTAGAATGGACCTAGTTTCTATCATAAGCAGAATCCAGAAATTGAGTTTTTCCCTATTACAACACTATTTGCTGTTTAAATCTTTAATTATTGTAGGAAAGGTATTAGCAAGCAAATACAAAGATCTTTATGGAAAGAAGATAGAGGCAGTGGGGAGTGATGGGGAGGTTCATAGCTGAGGAAGAGACTTCTAAGCCCTCTGTGCCCTGCAGGGCCAGGACACAAATGAGGAGTGCTGCCTAGGATGCAAATTTGAGGAGCTCACTCTTAAGTTCAGGTAAGTGTAGGATCTGCCCTGGTGACACTGCATGGACTACATGGTCAGCTGCTCCATTCCAATAACTCTCCCTTGCCCTATTAAGCACAGAATAATTCCCTTCCCTTTGCATCAAGATTCCTAAATATCTATGTCCTGTGTTTCAGCATATGTGACATTTAGTTAGAATCTAATAATACTGTCCTAGTGATCCATACGGTCGCTATGAGTTGGAATTGCCTCAACATGTTTGGTTTTTTTTTTTCCCCCTGGAAGTAACACAGGGAATATAAATAGTGGAATTTCCTTTGTCCCCTAGACTCTTCTAACTCCTGCTTTCACTAAACCTGCTCTAAGTGTGATTTTACCCAACAATTTTCAGGGCTCCTACATCCCTTTCGCCTTCCCTGGACATAGTTTGTCCATTTCCTCCCTAATTCTTATCTAGCCACCAGTGTAGAGCACAGGGAATTTAACCTTCCTTGACCTCAATTTTTTCCTTAGAGTGTGATCAATTAAAACCCTTAAGTAGGCCAAACTATCCTCCTTCCAGTAGTTTGTGATTTTTTTTTTATGTGACATTCCCCAACAACTCTTATGATGAAGAATCAGGCTTTATTTAGAATAGTGTTTTGTAGTTAAAAGTGCCACATTTATATTAAACACCATTTTATTCATTTTTAAAATTTGAAAACCAGAAACAATTTTCTGTACTAGTGAAGATCTTAACATTATTTTAAAATGATTTTGGGTGCTACATTTTCAATCACTGGTAAGTAACTAATCCTAGGCATCAATGACTAGGCGCACACACAGCTCAAAGGTCAAATTTACCAGAGGCCCCTTTTGATCATCTATATAAAATAACAACCTCTTCTTCACTCTCTAGCTCATTTTATTTTTCCTTCAGAACACTTCTCCATTTGGCATTCCAAACCAAAAAACCAAACCCGATGCCGTCGAGTCGATTCCGACTCATAGCAACCCTATAGGACAGAGTATAACTGCCCCATAGAGTTTCTAAGGAGCACCTGGTGGATTCAAACTGCCAACTTTTTGATTAGCAGCCATAGCTCTTAACCATTATGCCACCAGGGGTTTCCCCATTTGGCATTACACCACTAGAAATGTAAGTTCTATGAGAGCTTTGTCCATTTTGTCCACTGTTACATAGCTAGAGTAGAACAGTGCCTGACACTTGGGCAATCAAGTATTTGAGGTTAGTTGGTTGAAAGGATGGATGAATAAAAATCTCCAAAAGCTACTTGAATGTGCATAGACATAACGTTCAAGAAATATTTTTTTCATCTTGACATCAACTCATTACATGCCCTGATGAAATCAAGGTCTGTTGTCTGTAACATCCCCATATCTACAATCTAGAAAACATCAAAACGAGTAAAAGTTTGTTTGGCACAATTTCCTTTTAGAGAACCCATGCTTATTCAGGAATCACTAATTTTTCCCATAAGGGCTCAAAAAGTATACATTTAATAACCATTCCTGCGTTTACCCTAAAATAAACAGTCTTGTTCTGAAATCCACTTTTTGTTCTCCATAATTTCCCAAGAGTTATCTGCAGTTTGTTCAGTTTACAATATAATTACCTGAGCCCAGAGATTTACTTACAGCAACTAAGTATCTCAGCTACCTAAGACAAAATGTCTATTTATAATGTTTGCTTTTCCTGTTTAAAGGTCATTATCATTCCATGAGGTACAAGACAACATGGCAAGAGGAAACTGAGTACCTTGGCTTTTTCTTTGTCTTCCGTTAATTCTGCAAGATCATTTCCAAATAATGAGACCAGCCTTTCCTGAGCTTTAAAAACAGCTTTAAAAGTACTTAAATGAGTTAAAACATTTAAAGATTATTCACTCAGTCCAGTAGGTAAATTAAATGTGCTAAGCCATTGCAGACATCGTTAATTCTGAAAAATCTGAGATAATGAAAATGCTCTGGCCTGGCGAAACATATTCTCAAAAAAGACACTTTAGCTTAAAACACCTGCCTCTGTAGGCATGGCCAATGGTAACTGAACCACTTCTCCTCCTGCTCCTCAGAACACTACCAAGTCCAATTTCGGTTCTATTCATTAAACAAGTAACAGCATATGATGTACACTTTCAGCTCAAAAGAACACTTCATTAATAAATTAGAAAAATACAGTTCACCTCCTCTGTCACTTGGTTTAGATCACGTAACAGCAAGAAACTAGGGTGTGGAGTATGCATAGTACACCGGTCAAGTGTTTAGATGATTAGAGTTGAGTCCTATGAACTTGCCAAAGCAATAAAACCAGCTTATCAGAAGAAAACTGTCACGCTGAGGACTAAGGTACACCTGACCCAAGCCACGATATTTCCAATCGCCTTATATGCATGCGATAGCTGGACAATGAATAAGGAAGACTGAAGAATTGATGCCTTTGAATTATGGCGTTGGAGAAGAATACTGAATATACCATGGACTGCCAGAAGAATGAACAGGTCTGTCTTGGAAGAAATACAGCCAGAGGGCTCCTTGAAAGCAAGGATGGGAAGACTTTGTCTCACGTACTTTGGACATGTTATCAGGAGAGACCAGTCCCTGGAGAACGACATGATGCTTGGTAGAGGGTAAGTGAAAAAGAGGAAGACCCTGGACGAGATGGATTGACACAGTGGCTGCAACAATGGGCTCAAGTGTAACGATTATGAGGATGGCACAGGACCAGGCAGTGTTTTTTCTGTTGAATATAGGGTCGTTAAGTCAGAACTGACTCAACGGCACCTAACAACAAACAACATCAGAAGGAGTAAGCCAATATTTCCTACCCTGAAACAGAATCAAATGATTTTCCCGACAATCTGCAATTTGGCGTTTTTTAAAAGTCCACCTGATACTGTTCAGAACATTAGGATATCATCCGTCCTATATCAAATACCCTTTAAGGAAAAAATGACCACAGCTGTGAAGCAATTTAGACGCAGTTGAAAGCTCCATATAAATGCAAGATTACACAAGACCCCCTTATCTTCTAGCAAAGTATTAAAATGGTAAAGTTAAAAGTATGCTGTACTACAGGACCAAAGAATCCTCATGCTTATAAACTGTTCTTCAGTTAACACAGACATTTTAAAAATTGGCTAACAGATGTCAATATATGCTGTTGTTGTTGGACTAGGTTCTTAACCATTGTTTCTTAACTTGCTCATTTACAAATAAGGATAATCCTCTCTCTCAATAAGGTGATGCTTAATGATTAAATAAGATACCATCTGTAAAGCACCAAAAAAAAAACAAAAAACAAAATATGCTGTAATGCTACTCCTTATTTATTGATTTGGACATGCATCTGAAGTATTTCTGAAAATGTTTCCAGATTCCAAACTGAAAACTGTTACAGGAAAAGTAGTTAACAGTGACTGCATCTGGAGATGTGAATTAAAAGGATAAGGGTTGGGAGACTTTTTTATACTGCTTGAAATTTTTCCCCATATGCACTGATAAAAATAAAGGGAACATTCAGCTGATTATGGCATTGTGAGAATTTAATTCCAGTATTGTTTCACTTTTGAAGAGAAAACAGAACTCTGAATTTTATGTGGACTCAATTTTAAAATGTTGACTAGCCAACTAATTCCACCATCCATCGGTTTGTCATACTGTGATGGCTTACATGATGCTATGATGCTGGAAGCTATGCCACTGGTATTTCAAATACCAGCTGGGTCACCAGCTGGGTGGACAGGCTTCAGTGGAGCTCCTAGACTAAAACAGACTAGAAAGAAAGGTCTGGCAATCTACTTCCAGAAATTAGCCAATGGAAGCCTTATGGATCACAACATAACACTGACTGACTCACTTGCTTTGGACACATCATCATGAGGGATCATTCACTAAAGGAGAACGTTTGGTGAACAGGGCCAACAAAGGTGTGGGAGACCCTTAGTGAGATGGATTGGCACAACAGCCACCGGCGATGGACTTGAACATGCTGGCGAATGTAAGTATGACCAATGTTTCATTGTTTGTTGTACATAAGGTCATCATGAGTCAGAGTCGACTGGATGGCAGAAAACAAATTTTTTAAAGCACTATGTGGGTCAAACAATATTCCGGTATATAAAGCATATGGTTGCATCCTGAATTAGGGACCTGGCTGAGAGATGGGGGTGAAATTCAGACTTCTCTATTCACCAAGCAGGAAGGGGGATGGGTAAGCCTGTAAGAGACCTAATTCTCACAAAGGTACTAAATGGACAGCAGTGGCCCTACTTCTTTGCAACCTCTGATCCAAATGATAGAATCAGAGCTTTAAAGCTGAATATAATTTATGTACCACGTAGGTACAACCCGTTGCTTTCGGGTCAATTCCAATTCAGAGACCCTATAGGACAGAGTAGGACTGCCCCATAGGGCTTCCAAGGAGTGGCTGGTGGATGCGAACTGCCAATCTTTTGGTTAGCAGCCACACTCTTCATCACCACCAGGGCTCCACGTACCTAACAAGGATGACCATATTCTAACCACCCCACATTGCTCATCTGCTAGGCCTTTTTATTCTTCCAGTAATGGCAACAGACTATACTTAGCCTTCCCATTTAGTGAAATTCTCTGTGAAACACTGTCTTTAAGAGTGCTAGGTGCATGTGTTACTGTGTTTGGTGATATGTGTGAGTATGTACTCAGCTGAACCCTAAGAATTTATGATGAAATAAGTAGTAATTGCTTCTTTTTGTTAAGTTTATATAGAAAAACCTTCTTCCAAGATTCTGAAGAAGTTATTTGTAGAAGTGGGTTGTATGGGGGTTGTGTGTATGTGTGTTATATAAATTCAAACTGATAGCTAATCATCTCTTCATATGTGGAAGAAAAATTCTGTAATACTGCTCTTCCCCAGGACTCTCCGGTGTCATGATAAAGAGAAGCTCCAGGCTAGGAATAAGGAAATTTATTCTTTCGTTAATATTCCAATATTACCTAGCTATGTAGATGTTTTCTAAGGTTGTTCTAGTTCTTAAAGAGAATTGCTTCAAGTAAAATCCATGCTTATGAAAACAGCCATTGGTGTAAGGATTAAGTTTAAAAACTGATAAAATTTTGCAGAAGTACAAAATTAAGTAGCTCCCAGTGAGGTTTTCATCTCATAACAGCACACACTAGATATTGTCACACATGGGCTATCTGGGAATTCTCCAGCTATACTGTCTAATTATGACACAGAAATATGCATTCAGCTTCCAGTGGTACTCTATTGCTAGCTACTTTCTCAAAATGACGCTCTATTAACATCAGTTCAGTGGGGTTTGCTGTAAGTAGCTCATGTCTGTGATACAAAGTATTAATTGCTGGTTTTTTACAAACTAGTCATAAGTCTTCATATAGAAAAAAACGAAGAGATGGGGAAAAGGAGCATCATGAAGTTTGTCAAAACTTAAATAAAAAGATGTTTACTACCTAGGCTTTTACAACCACTTTAAAACTTCCTTCTTCAATTTATATTCATGTGATTTCACAGCAAAAAAGCATACATGATTTTTATTTCCATTAAACTTACCTATTAATAATCATCTTTATAAACAAAGTGGGACCGAGTTAAACAGATAATGAAGTATGAACTAAAAGGTTTTAAAAGCAGATGTAATGAAGATGAAGATTTGTACGTCTTCATTATATTTGCTAACTCCTGGTGCTTAACACAAGAAACCAGGGCTGCTACCCAGTGGCAATGTAAATCTTTAAATGATTTTAAGATTTAAAGAATAAAAGAATATTGGAAAAAAACCCATAAATTAGACAACTTCAATTTTAACACCAGTAATTCTGGTGTATCAAATTTTTAATAACATCAAGGGACAGAAACATTCTTATGCTTAGACAACACTGGGAAAATTCTTGAAAAAATCGTATGACTTCCTACTGTTTACTAAATTTTATGGTTTTAAGAAGTATTTTCAATAAAAATACTTAAAGTTACTTTGCTTAAATTTAAATCTTCAGAATTAAATTTCAAAATGAGGGAAAAAGTGAGCTGTAATCATAAAATACGCATTTTCTTCTGTGACCAACAGAAGTGGATTCACTACTTTACAGTAGCCTCTCATTCATATACCCCAAATCCTGTTTGGTGAACAAAACATAATAGAGGGACCTGCAAAAACAAGATTTAAAAAATAATATAATTCTTGCTAACCATGAGCACATCTCATCTTTCCCTCAGGTACTGGGGTATTTAAGAAAAATACATCAATTTTCATGTCCCAGGCAACAAATTCCACAATTGAAAGGAGTACATGAAAATAGGAAATACTAAGCCTGACATTTAATGATGTTTAGAAATAAAACAAGTATCTCATCACCTTCTATTTTCCCCCAAACTTAGCCATAGCTTATTTCACACTGGCACAAACATAACATGTCCTTACACAAGGTGCTTTGGTAAAATAACACTAGAAAGAAAGAAGAAAACAACACTACAGAATCCATTTACAATTTGAAAAGCTAAATATCTCACAGAGACTGCTTTGTTTTCTTGAATAGCCAGATGAAACAGAAGCACCAAAAATATTCTTAAGAATTTAGTGATTTTGTTTCCAACAGTTGTAAATTAAAATTGTACAAGATGTTTTCCAGCCTATATCCAATCTGTTTTACTTTACATTGAAGACAATGAAAGGATTTTTTAAAATAATGGCAGACACAACATACTTGGTATTTACAACGATCTGTGACAAATACAATGCCTGAAAATAATTTCTATTTTTTCATTTATTATTGCTATTCAGTCACAGTAAAGATTAACTCTTTTATTTTAGCATATGTTATATATCGATATAAGAATTTTACATGAAGGAAAACCATAGTGGAACAACCAATAGGATGTCCTTGCAAGGAAATAAAGGAAAGGCAATAAAGAAACTCTTCCATGTAAAGACTTCTGATTTCCATTAATTTTTTTCAAAATACAAAATTTTAATATTAGAAGCAAAGAGAAAAACAGTAAAGAAAACCATAAAGCAGACTAAGTAATTGCTTTATGCAGATGCTCTGCATACACAGTATATACGTATGTGCTGAGTTATAATAAAAATACGTATGTATTATAGTCAATTCTCATACAGCGTTAGAAATCAAGCATGACTGGACTGACATTTTCTCAGTCTTCAACTACATGACAAATTAAAGCTGTGTAGCAGTCACTTTTGGTCAGCAGTATCACGATAAATGCTTGACAAGATATAATTTTTCTCCTTGTTCACTTGTAAAAATTGGTGCTTTTTTGTAATGTTCTACAAGTTCTTCCATGGTGCTGAATTTACGCTGCCCAATGCAGTAGACAGTCTCTTTCAGTTGGACTTTAAAATGCTTGTTTTTCCCTTGTGCTTTTAGTGATACTGAGAAATCATTTGGCTAAAAGAGAAAAAACACCTATGGTAAACTTTCTGAAAGATATCTATTAGCATTTTTAAATTAAACTATTAATAATAAGAGCTAAAATTTGAGCACTAAGTACTAGACACTGTGCTAAATCATTTACACAGCTTATCTCTTTTACTCATCAAAACACACACATTTTATAGGTAAGAAAATTGAGGCTCAGAGAAGATAACTTGTCCAAGATCACCATCTATTTATCAACATAGCTAGGATTCAAACCCAAGCAGTTGGACTCCAGAGTCTAACTAATATGCTCTACACAACAGCACAGCAAATCCTTTAATAGCTGAAGCACAGAGCTATCTGCTCCAGTCAGACTACTGGGGAAACAAGTGAGAAAATCCAAGACCCTTTTCAATTTGTAGTGAGTAGTTGCTGTCTTAAAGATAATACTCTGAATTCTCATAAAGGACACACAGATGAGAATTAATCTAAACCCTAATGAGGAATCACAAACTCAATGCCTACAAAAAAGAAAAAAACCAAATTTATTGCCGTCGAGTTGATTCTGACTCATAGCAACCCTACAGGACAGAGCAGAACCGCCATATAGGGTTTCCAAGGAACGGCTGGGGGATTCTGTCAACCTTTTTTGGTTAGCAGCCGAGCTCTTAACCACTGCATCACCAGGGCTCCCAAATGCCTACAAGGGCCAAAAAAGTAAACAGGTGACAAAGTAGGGGTCAGGCTGGATGAACATGGAGAACAACAGTGTATAGCTACCCTAAGGGAGGTGGTCACTTCTCAGCTGTGATTGTTGCCTTATGGGAATAAGAGCTCAATGCTGACAGGTTCCTACTTTACAAGGGAAGTCTGAATTTTTATAATCTCCCAATATTTCAATGTTGGCAATGAATTCAAATGTTTAAAAAAGTTGTACAGGACAAACAAAATATACCCATTTCAGACCTCTTCACTAAGGATTATACTGCTGAAAATAATAGTGTATTTTGGCTAATATCTATGCTCAATTACACAAAAGAAATCATACTGTATTCCACTTTCAATCTACTTTCTTAATTAGGTGCTTTTCTTTTTTTTAACCTAACAGTCTTCTAAACAGTCTCTATCAACCCCAGAAACCTCTTTCTATACAGTTACTCTCAAAGTTTCAAACACTGAGCTTTTTTTGGTAAACATTTCATACTTGAGGTTTTTTTTTCTTTTTTTTTTTTTTTTACCATTCATTCTAAGGTCACTCCCTTTCTAAACCACTCTGCCCACTGCTTGCCCTGGACAGCAAGGGCCACCTCAGGCATTTAACAGAAAATGGATCCAACCACTCTTCCCTTTCATCAACCACTTGTTCTCTATGGGGTTAGGTATAGTCTCCGTTTTCCTGACTTTCACATCAGGCAGTTCAATTAATCTCAATCTCTCTCAATGACCATGTCTATCTGTCCCTCTCATACCCATACCACACCGAGATAGGCTTTCTTCTTTCAATCTTTTATAAATTATACACTTTTGTACAACTACATACACACAAAGCCAATACTAATTATGATTTGATAAGTGAAAAAGTAGTGGTATTCTTTATCAAAAATAAAAAAGAAAGGCCATATTTAAGGAAAAAAGAGTCATCAAATTCTAATAGCCTACACAGTCCCCAAAAGAGCCCATATAACTATACTGATATTCAATTTTTATTATTTTATAGTTTTACCTTTAATTTACCCAGTAATTTACCTTTTATTGCAAATGCATTTCAAATACAGTAAGTGTTAAGATTAGTTTTTGAGGCATATAATAAAAGTGCGTTCTAGCTTCCAAACAACCAACTTATTAAGAAACTTAAATATCACTTTATTTTTTTTAAATTTAGGGACTTCCTGTATTGTAAAGGCTGTCGTTAGCTGCTATCAAGTCAGCTCCAACTCAAGGTGACATTATATATAACAGAACAAAATGGTGTCCTGTCCTTCGCCATCTTCATACTTGTTCGTATAAGGACTAGAATAATTACATTCTTACACATTGCATACAACATGCAATTTAAGGAATGTTTCTCCAATTTAGTCTATTGCACCGTTCTACTCTCATGAAGAATCGATGTTCAATTTTCTCCATTTTTCAGTTTAATGCAACAGAAAATAGTTCAGGAATGCAAAACCAACAGAACTAGACAAGGCCATATCTAGTGCAGAATCAATGCCAGGGCTAAATTTTATTCAAAATAGATACTGTTGGAAACAACATTAACTTTAGCTTCAGAATATCTATGTCCCAGCTTACTAGCTGACTAACTTTAGGGAGGAGTCCCTGGGTGGCAAATGGTTAACGCGCTCAGCTGCTAATCAAAAGGCTGAAGGTCTGAGTCCTCCCAGGGGCACCATGGAAGAAAAGCCTGGCGATCTACTTCTGAAAAATCAGCCACTGAAAAGCCTACGGAGTACAGTTCTACTCAGACACATATGGAGTTATCATGAATCAGAATCAACTTGATGGCAACTGGCAACTTTAAGCCACTTAACCTCTCTAACCCTCTATTTTTTTTAATACTCAGAACGCTGTTTTCATTTACCTTTGTAAACCAACTTACCGAAGATTCACTATCACGAATGAGGAAATCCCCTTCGTGCCCTCTTTCATTCAATGCTATTTCTGCTTGATGCCTGGTTACTTTACCATAATACCATGGATTGCCAGCAAACTTTCCAGTGAGTGAAGGTCTAATGTAGTCACACTGCGGAGGTGACGGTCCCAAACCTGAGGTTAATGGATTATTCTGCATAATGGTAACATAGTTTTTTGGCACCAGACCAACCATTCCATTGATCTTCCTGCACTTCCACCACTCTGGGTCATTTTCTGGTTTTTCAATAACATCCATTACATCTCCTTTTTCAAAATTCAGTTCTTCATCATTGGACGAGCTGAATGGGTAAAGAGCCTGTACCACGTGCAACACTTGCCCAGTATTTAGGTTATTGACGACAGCTGCTAATTTCTCTGACAGGGAACCCACATGGTCACCCAAAGGACTGTCACCTTCTTCAGTTACATAGTTTGAAGGGAACCATCCAATTTGTCCATTGTAGCTTCCTCGCCACCACCCATCACTACATTTCTCCATGACGATCACTTTTGTGCCTTTTATCAAAGATAACTCATCTTCTCTCTCAGCCATGTAGTTAAATTTTACATAAGCAGGCATGCTGAGGTCATACAGACGTTCTCCTGGGTCAACAAAGCTGTCATCAGCGGGAGATGCAGAGTCTGGCACACTAGGTTTTCTTTTCACTTTTCCAATGCCTGTTTAAAGAAAAAGGGGGAGAAAAGAACATAAAACAATGATTACCAAAAAAATGACTTAATCATTATCAAAAAAGGCTCTTACCCTTGTATAGTTTTTTTAAGCCTTTATACTTAGATAACAAATTTTTATGTGGTATATCTCTTTGGAAATATGATGCAAATTCTCTTTTCATAATCAAATAAGGACTTAATTTCAGTTATTATATGAAGGTTACCCACTTATCTTTTCTTTTACCAAAGGCCCTGAAATAACTACAAAATTACATAGTAACACTGTCCTAAATTAATGAATTTTCTATTAAATGTAAACACATTATTTCTGTCATACCTACAATCTATGTATACAAAGGCACTCCTAACTCCATACTCCTCTTTTGCCTTTATTAACCTAGATTCTGCAACTAGCTGTGCCAAAATAAAACCATAACTTAAATTACAATTTGATATACAATGTAATATTGTAGTTATGTCCAGGTAGTCTCCCCATTTGCTTTTTTTTCTTTTATTTTTTTAAATTATACTTTAGATGAAGGTTTACAGAATAGTTTCTCATTAAACAGTACACATATTGTTTTATGACAATGGTTAACAACCCCACGACATGTCAACACTCTCCTTTCTTGACCTTGAGGACCTTTCTTTTGGTGAAAATATACATAGCCAAAGTTACACCATTTTGAAAGTTTCTACATGTACAATTCAGTGACATCGATTACATTCTTCCAGTTGTGCTGCTATTCTCACTATTCCAGATTATTCCATCACCATTATCAACTCACTGTCCCCTAGTCTATCCACCAAACCTTCTGAGTTGCTGTTGTCAATTTGATCATAGTTTTTTTTTGTACCTTAGATGAAGGTTTGTAGAAATAGTTTCTCATTAAACAGTACACATATTGCCCTATGACAATGGTTAACAACTCCATGTCAACAGTCCCTTCTCAACCTTGGGTTCCCTATTACCAGCTTTCCTGTCCCCTTCTGCCTTCTAGTCCTTGTCCCTGGACTGCTGTGCCTCATTAGTCCTGTTTTGTTTTATGAGGCTGTCCAATCCCTGGCTGAATGGTGAATTTTGGGAGGGGCTCCATGACTGAGCTAAAACGGTATCCAGGGGCCATACTCTTGGGGTTTCTCGAGTCTGTCAGGCCACTAAATCTGGTCTTTTTTGGGGGGGAGTTAAAATTCTGTTCTACATCGTTTTCCAGCTCTATCCAGGACCCTCTATTGTGATCCTGGTCAGAGCAGTCAGTAGTGGTAGCCGGGCACCATCTAGCTGTACTGTACTCTGCCTGGTGGAGGCCGTGGTAGCTGTGGTCCTTTAGTCCTTTGGACTAACCTTTTCCTTGTATCTTGTTCTCTTCATTCTCCCTTGCTCCCAAAGGGGTGAGACCAGTGGAGTATCTTAGATCGCTGCTCACAGGCTTTTAAGACCCCACATGCTACTCACCAAGGTAGAATGTAGAACACTATCCTTATAAACCGTGTTATGCCAATTGAGCTAGATGTTCCCCAAGATCATGGTCCCCACAGCACTCCGCCAAGCAATTTGGTCCTTCAGGGAGTTTGGAAGTGTCTATGGAGCTTCCATGACCTTTCCCTGTACAAGCTGCGCTGGCTTCCCCAGTAATGTGTACCGTCTTACCCTTCACCAAAGTTACCATTTATCTATTTAGTCTCCCCCCACCCCCCCATCCCTCATAACCAACAAAGATTGTTTTTTTGTGTGTCAACTTTTACATAAGTTATACAGCAGAGGTCTCATACAATATTTATCCTTTTGTGATTGACTTATTTCACTCAGCATAATGACCGCCAGTTTCATCCATGAGATGCTTCACAGATTCATCATTATTCTTTATCTTTGTATAATACTCCATTGTGTGTATGTAACATAGTTTATCCATTCATCTGTTGATGGGCATCTAGGTTGTTTCCATCTTTTTGCTACTGTGAACAGTGCTTCAATGAATATGCGTGTGCATATGTGTATTAGTGTGATGGCTCATATATCTCTAGAATATATTCCTAGGAGTGGGATTGCATTTTGCACTGCTTTTTTTGTGGTACTGACTTTTTCTTTGTTCCTCTTACTCTCCTGTGCTGAGTTCCTTTTATTTGTGGATTTTTTTTTTCATTTCTTTTGTTTTTGTAGGTTTTGTTTTTACTGAAACTTTATTTTTTTTAATTTTTTTATTTTGATGAGTAGGTTTGTTAACTTTCTTTGTGGTTACTGTGAAACTCACCCTTATCTTCCCAGATTTGAATCAGTCTATTATTACTTGGTATCGCTTGACTTCTCTCCATTAGAAGGTTCTATACCTACACCGTTTATTCCCTCTTTTATTGTTCTGATGCTGTTGTCATTTACAGATTAACCTCTCTGGTTCCCTGATGTAATTCTTTTGGTTTTGCATAGTCCTTAAGAGTTTATTTCCTAGGTTGGTATCTGGCTAGTACAATCCTGTGTCCTATATTCAGCCTGTGGTCTGATGCTTGTTCTCAGTTCAAAGGACTTCCTTTAATAAGTCTTGTAAGTTTGGTTTGGTTTTTACATAGTCCTTTAATTTCTGTTTATCCGGAAATGACCTAATTCTACCATCATATTTGAACAAGCGTTTTACAGGATATATTATTCTTGGCTGGCAATTTTTTTCTTTCAAGGTTTTATATGTCATCCCATTGCCTTCTTGCCTGCATGGTTTCTGCCAAATAATCCGAGTTTAGTCTTATTGTTTCTCCTTTATATGTGACTTCTTGTTTTTCTCGAGCTGCTCTCAGGATTCTTTGTCTTTGGTTTTAGCGAGTGTGATTATGATATGCCTTGGTAATTTTCTTTTGAGGTCTAGCCTATATGGGGTTCGTTGAGCTTCCTGGATGGTCAGCTTTTCATCTTCCATGATACAGAGAAAGTTTTGTCAGCAATTCTTCAGTGATCCTCTCTGTGTTTTCTGTTTTCTCCCCCTGTTCTGAAACTCCGATCACTCGCAGATTTTTGCTTTTGATTGTATCCCAAATAATTTTCAGGGTTTCTTCATTTTTCTTCATTCTTTTTTCTGATTTTTCCTCAGAGTTGTAGCCAAGTGTTTGTCTTCAATTTTGCTGATCCTATCTTCCACTGTTTCAAACCTGCTCCTCAGCCGTTCTATGACACTGTCCATTTATGAAATCTTGTTTATCTTTTGGATTTCTGTTTTTGTATGATTTCTAGCTATGAATTTATTTTAGCAATTTGTTCCTGTATTATTTTCTTGAATTCTTCCACTTTTAGCCTGTATTTTCCATCATTTTGTCTATCTGTTCCTCATTTTTGTCTGCTTTTTGCTTCAACTCTTAGATAATTCTGAATATTCGAGATTTGAATTTCCTATCAGGTCTAGTGCCTTTTCTTCTACCGGAAAGTCATCTCGTGTTTTATTCTGGACACCTACTGGAACCATCCTGTCCTATTTTTGTAAATGTTTTGATACTGTCTGCTGTCTTCGGGACATTCAGTAGTTATTTTCCTTGTTTATTATTTTTAGATCTGTTTGTTTCGCTCTGCTTTTTTGTTTTATTTGGTTACGTCTGAGCAGGCAGGCTGTGCATTCTTTGTTGTTTGCTCATCTGTGGGCATGATACTTTTCACCTCCTTTTCCAATGGGCAGGGTTACTCAGGTATGGTACAGCAGGGCAAGTCCAGCTGAAGGGAAGTTGCTAGGATAGGTTTTTTGTGGCACGTACCAGAGCTGACAGTGCAGACTGGGAATCAGTGCATGGCAGGTTCCAGTAGGCGGTGCCTGTGCTGCTTGGGAGTGTGATGTTCAGCGCACGGTGCAGGTAGGCAGGAAGGAGGGGGTAGATTGTGATATGCAGAGCTAAAATGGGTACGGGAAAAACAAGACAGAGGAGAGAGGAACAGGAGCAAAAACATACACACAAACAAAAAAGAGTGCTAAGCGAGCTTGCTATTGGAGAAATGAGACTGAGAAATGGGGAAAAACAAAAATGAAAAAAAGAAAAAGTAAAAAAATCAATCGAGAAACTGGAAATGAAGAAAGACAAAAAGGGAATAAGAGAGGAAAACTAAACAAAGAAATGAAAAAAAAAAACCCAAAAACAAATTAAAAAAACATGTAAAAAAGGAATGCCCCCAGGGATGTCCCTGTGTGTCTACAAAAAGTAAGGGAGTAGCTTCCAAGCCGGGTGGTACTGCCCAGCTAGGAGGGAATCCAAAACCAAGAAAAGGAAAACAAAACAAACAAATCAAAACAGAACAAATCAGAATAAACAAACAAAAAAGCTCTGGGGGGTCCCACGAGTGCGGCAGCACGGGCCAGGAAGCAGTTTCACAGTCAAGTGGTGTTTCGCAGCCTTTCTGGAAGAAGCAAAGATGGTGCATGGAGCCAGGTATTTGAGAAAAAGGAGGGGAAGCTGGTAAGAGGTAAGGAAGAAATCTAAAGTGGAAAAAAGCAACACCAGCAACCACTAAATGGCACTCAGGGAGCTCGCCAGTGCGAGCAGACAGAATCCAAGCGGCACTGGGGGTAAGCTCATGCTTCTCGGCCAACAGACTGTAGCTACATGAAGCAGAAGAGGCTAAGTGGGAGTGAAGAAGGATGGGGGGGTGGGAAAGCCTATATCGTGTGTTACTGGTTGTTCTGTCTCCTGCTGGAATCTCCATGAAGCTGTCTTCTCATACCTCCTGTTCGCTAATCTCTGACAGGAGTCCAAGATGGCAGATCCGTGCTGTGGTAGCTCATAGGGGACCTCTGCATTTCTCTCTCCTCACTCTCTGTTCTCTGTCAGTTTCTTATCCCATTCGGTGCTTGGCTGAGTTCCTTATCTCTTCACTTGATGCTTAGGATTTCAGGAATGACGTGTGATTCTGTTTGACTTAGTTTTTCAGATCTTTGCTGTGGAGGGACGGTGTGGTGGTTCTGACTATAGCGCCATGTTGCCTGGAAGTCCCCCATTTGCTTTTTTAGCTGTCAGACCTAGGCTTTAGAGTGCTCACGTCT